ACAATTCAGCAAAACAGACTAAAAGTGTTAAAAAAATCTTTGACAGACCTAGGTTGCTGATGCCTCGCATAGGACTGGGAAGCAAAATTATGCTCGCTGAAGTTGTTTCCCCCTATAAGCCGTCCCTGAATGGGATATCACCGATTATGAGAAAGTAATATCCTCCCATGCTTTCAAATCACTTTTTTTTTTCAAATATAACCACTGGACAGTCTCCACGCAAAAAAAGCAAAAAAAAAAAACAAAGCAAAAAAGCATAGTTATGTTAAAATAGTAAACAGCTCATTATTAACAAATAAGATACCCTCTCCCACAATGAATCAAAAACCCTGGTTAAAAAAAGTTCCTGGACATTTCAAAGCATTCAAATTTTTGTAACTACCTCGATCTAAAGTAAATTTTGCCAAAAGCACAGGGCTTCTTAATAACTGCATAAAAATTACATCATCAGACAGTGCTAAACTTTAAAAACACAAGCACGAAACTTTTTAGGAAATGAAGCAGGTTGAATCATCTTACAAAAACAACCAAACTCTTTGAGAATAAATACAAATCGGAAAGCTGAAAAATTTGGCTTTTTCTGCATTCACTTTGGTCTTTCTACATCAAAGATCAATTTTAACATGAGCCATATTTTGCAAAAATTACAAAAAAAACATGAACTAGGCCTTATTTGAAGCATTTGCTGGACTTGCTGATACTTTAGCAGCTGCTTCAGTGGCTTTCTTCGAAACATCATTCTCCTTAACTTCACTTCTGTTCCGTTCTTGCTGCTGCTTTCCCTCTTTTGCATCCGACTTCTCCGCAACGCCTGGCAGCCGGGTTGCAATTACCTTTGCCAGAGAAGTGACTTTCAGTTGGTGCTCGGAATGTTCGATGTTCCGAATTTGCTGATGCATGTCCTCCACTTCAAGTCGTGATGGCACTGCACTATCGAAATAGTACTCCTTGAAACCAACGGCGAGCAATGAATGCAGCAGCAAAATGCTCACAATCGTTCCCACAGCAATCTGCAAATAGGCATAAATTTCGGCCACAAGACAGTTCCTATGCTCTCACATCCACAACACCAATATCATCGGCACTGCTGGTTTCTTCAGATGCATTAGTTTCAGTAGCCTATAAAGACATTCCAGCCACAAACACAGGAGACTGCATGTTGGCAATAATACCTTCACATATGTTATTTTTAATATATCTCCCTCTCATTCCTTCACATTTTTTACACCCCATTATCGTTATATCTGAAAAGTCACAAGTACAAGCCCTCTCCGTAATTTCCTCTTCTGAGAGAAGGCACCGAGAAGCAGTCCGTCTGGCAGCATGTGCTAACAGTATCCATCACTCACAAGGTTCACTGTGGTACCCTCTCCCGAGAGCATCTCATAATCAAACAAAATGATGGCAATTTTGACTACACAGCATAAGCTGGCAACAAACAATCAACAGCTTCTTATAGGAAAAAATTTGGAAGGCGCATTTCTGTGCTCACTGCTACAAAATTTTTGTCGATTTTGAGAATGATATCGCCTAAATTCTCTCTTCCGCATTAGCAATAAATTCTACTGTTGCTTCATAGCATCAAAAACAGAGGACTTTTTTGCAGAGAAAGAGAAATATATAGAAAACAAGACCCTGAAAATTTTATTAAATTCCCCCCAAAGTACTTGCTGAAATATCAGTCGAAGAATTGCTTAAAGTATTCATCAACAAAAAAAAAACGCTGAAAATATCTCTGTTTTCTATAATTCTGTCCATTAACAGTAAGTTTATTTATATCATCAAATCACAGAAAACTCTTTGGAAACGAAGAGAAG